GTAGAGAAGCTTTGGTGCGTTACGAAACACATATACATTCGTCTCCGTTTTTACATCTCCGGCAGCACGAGGCGTGGGTCGGGGTGGGTTTTAAGCAGGTTCGCTTTATTCAGACTGACCGTTCATTTCAGTCAATCATCATCATCGTGGTACAATTGTATTTTCTGCGACGCATCTCAAAATGTGAGCTTTCATTCTTAGACTGTCGTCAATGATGCTTACTTTGAGCTTACAATGCAGTCGCTTCTACAACTCGTCATGCTCGTAGTTGGTGGCTCTGGATCGCCTTCACTGTACTTGTGAGTCCTCCACACTCTGGCCAACTGTGGCACTCACTGCCCCACTTCAGGTCCTTCTTTCCATATCACAAGTCCGTGAGTAATTATTACTGGCGGGTGTTCAGACAACTGATTCTTTCTGCTACTAGCTTTAACGATAGGCAAGTTATCACATCTTTATCTGCTAGGTTCATTTGTGATGCTAAACTCATTCATAGCATATTGTGTCTTCTCCATCAACAAAGTAAACATCTTTATCCCGGTCAACTTGGTTTGTGTGCCCTTAGAAAGCACATCGCTCCCAATATTGAACGTGATTCGTATAAGCGTATCAAGCGGGCGGGACTCATAGCGGCGGCGGTGGTGGATATCGCCATTGCAATGGGCATGCTCACGCTCCTCAAAGACACTGATTCTGCGGACAAGCGTACGTTCAGGTCGAAGAGGTCAGTGGGTGTGGTAGAATCTACCATATTGCACTCAAACTGGGCCCTCTTTAGGACCTCGAGAACTCTGCGTCGCTTAACAGTCATTATTATCAACACTGGATTGGCGACGGCTGTCATCGCAATCATTTCCCTCATCCTCGTGGGTGTTCTCTTACCGCTGTGACATTGCTATAAGCTTACTATTTGTAATAAGGATGAGACTGCCAGCGGGACAAAATTCTGGACCGCAATCGCACAGTACCCGCAATGCTCGATCTACCTCTCGGCATTCCTCGCCAACTTGAATGCACGCCGCTATATCCGTGGCACAGGAGAGGATGTGGTGATCTCGAATGTCGAAGATTTACGATTTGCCAGTGGAACGACGGGGCAGGGTGATACCGAAACTAACAACGCGGATCCGCAGATCGTGCTCAAACATATTGCTTCTGATGTCAACTCGAGCGGCACTGAGCGTCAAGAAACGACAGATGTGAGGCCGGCATATAATTGACCTTCTTATACAACCGGCTGATGAAGGATTTTTTTAAAGGACCATCTGAAAATCGAAAAGTACTCCCATTCAGTCTGAGGTTCGATTGCGTCGTAATAAAACATGTTCATACTCTCGTTACTGCTCCTCATTCCATATATACTACTTGCTGGTATTTTCTCGGCGAGGTTTCCATTTTTGGATTCTATTTTAAGATCACGGTTACTCTCTTCGAATTCTATCCCGATGGAAAAGCAACTGGTTCGATTCTACATCACACTGGAGGCGCTGCATCCATTTATATACGTGTGAACTGCGCACACCGGCTTCCGTCTCGTCCGGTGCGCTTACTAGACTTGTCGCGCTCACGATGTCCGCGTCAAGGCTCCCTCCGCCTACGCGTGTCGGGTCTTTCAGCGAGAAGTGGCCGCCAAAACCCACCTGGAAAGCTCCTGAAGATGTTCCCGACCTCACAGGACAGATATTCCTCTGTACTGGCGGGAACGCTGGGATCGGGAAGGAGACTTGCCGTGTGCGGCATCTTATCTGCTCGCTTTTGCGCTTGCTTCTAACCGTTGGCAACAGGTCTTGGTGGCTCGAAATGCTAAGGTCTATCTCGCCGCGCGGTCAGAGGAAAGGGCTCAAGCTGCCATAGACGATATTCGCAGGAGCACAGGGAAATCGAACATCCATTTCTTACATCTTGATCTCGCGGATCTTGCTTCAGTCAGGAAAGCTGCAGAAGAGTACATGTCGAAAGAACAGGAACTGCATGTTCTCATTAACAATGGGTGAGCAACGGTCTTCCTCTCTGATTTGCCCGTTGACCTTACTTCGGGCGCAGGGGTGTCTTGCATTCTCCTGGAATAGGGCCCCAAACTGCACAGGGATACGATGTGCAATTCGGAGTGCACGTACTTGGTCCGAATGTCCTCTGCGTGCTGTTCCGCCCACTCATCTATTCCGGGAGCAGGCCACCACTTCTTAACCGTCCTCCTAATGCCCACACTTCTGCGCACGGCAAACGGCGAAGTCTCTGGCACGCCGCGCCGTGTTCGGGTGATATCTGTGTCGTCGGATGCGCACGAAATGACCGCCCCGAAACAGGGCATCGTCTGGGACTCACTCCAGAAGGGTGACGCGGCGATGCCAGCGCGGAAAAAGCTCACAGGGACTCGCTTGTATGGCCAAAGTAAACTGGTATAGTCCTTCTCTAGCCAGCAGAGCTGAATATTTACGCGGATGCGACAGGGCGTGGTCCTGATATCCTCCGAACTGGCACGAAGATATGGTGACCTAGGTGTCGTGTCCATCTCCTTGCATCCGGGTGTGTAGCTCGCAATTGTGGGCGAATCTGGAATCTCATCGCAACTCCCCATTTTTCAGGCGGTGTCAAGTCCGAACTGTTGCGCAACCTGAATCCCGCCATCGCATGGATAGTCGAGAAAATACGCATCTACCCGATTTCGTTGGGAATCATTACATCGCTGTACGCGGCGACCTCGGAAGCCGCCTTGGATATGAACGGAGAGGTAATTTTGGATGGTGTTCGACTTGCTAATGACTAACCGTTGCCGCGCAGTACTTGACTGCTTGGGCGCGACGGCAAGTCCCCAGTAAACATGCACAGAACCCGGAGTTGGCGGAAAAGTTGTGGAAATGGTGTGAGGAGCAGATTTCCGGTTTTTAATTGGATGTAGTGGCTTGGGTAACGAGGCGCCGACCTATTTCTGCACAAACTCTCTCCTCCTTGATGCTGTTAAAATTCGGATGCATGCAGCTAAGTCTCATCAACCTCACAAATTAATGACGACTTCAGGGTATTGTGTTGCGCCGCCGCTCCAAACGCCGAATACACGCTGGATATCTGGATATCTGGATATCTGCGAAACCGAAAGTATGCCAAAACAAGTTTGTCGGTCTTGATGGCCAGAATCAACATTCTTAATGAGCAAACCCGTGGACGTTCTATAATACGACGAGGTGAATAATGGTTGTTCCAAGGAACCCCATTGAACCCCACTCACTACGGCCGCGCTTACCGTGCCACCACCCATTGTTGGACAGACTGCCTTGCTAGCCAGAGATCCAGACAGACAGATGCGCGACGACATGCAATTATATAGGTCCCAGAACGGTATGACAATATTTTATTCGACACATATGTATAGTAATACACCCCTCCATCTTTTCCTGTGACAGGGGTTCTAGCGCCTCGCGCCCTGCTGCCCCCTGTTCTGCGCGGTTGATCCCGCCCACACTTGCATCATACCAACAAGGATCATCCAGCTGCTTGCAAATCGCAGGGGCAGCCTGCCCAATCACTGCATTCCAAGGCCCCCTAGACTCAGCTGAGTCTAGGTGTTCTAGACATACCTACACACAGATCTGTGCCTAGGTAACTAGACAGAGTCTGTGTAGGTCTGTTTAGGCTCTTTGTAGCTCTGTCTAGGTCAGACTCGGTCTGCCGAGCTCAGTTCGGGTCAGTCTAGGTCAGTATAGTACCTAGACAGACTCACCATCTACTTGTTGCGTCAAAATAAGTTTCTAAACATCCTCCCACAATGTATAGAAGTATTTTGAGTCATCGGAAGTAGCACATAAACTCGAATCTGGAAGCAAGATCTAATCACAAATTTAAAATGAATGATTAATGGTATCGTCCATCCGGCTTCCGTCCGACTTAAATGGAGTTACACCGATGTTTCCACACCTGTTAAAATTCAATACAGACGAGTTCTAATTGGCTATATAACATTAGCAACTCCCTTGCCGCCTAGCAGACACTTGCATCATGAGTCGTGGACTAGTTGTGGAAACACCCGGTACATGTACTGGGCAGGTGGAAGAGGAGGAACGAAGGAGGAACCACGTACTTGAGCCCAAAGGAGGACCTAAATGAACTCCGAGCGACAAGCCGCAAGCGAATGTTGTGGCTGGCGTTGTTGTGGCATCTTTGTCGTCTCACGTGCGATGCGCCGACAGCAGGATCAACGTTGATGCGCTGATGATCAACGGAACCCCCTATAAGGATTTTGGAGCGAAAGGCATAAAAGTATGTCTGTTTTGCTCTGACTAGGCACCTACACTCACCCAAACTAACCTAGACTGACTTACACTTGGCTAGACAGAGACACCCGAACACACCTACACAGAGGCTACACAGAGTTGGAGACTCCTAGGCAAAATATCCGTCTAGGACCCTACACAGGGTCTGCCTAGGGACCGAACACACCTAGACTGACCCTAGACAAAGTTAGGCTCACTGAGTCTAGGGGGCCTTGGAATGCAGTGAATGGTTGTCTGTTCCGTTTTCTCTTCGTCCTCTATAATCCTCGTCGTCGTCGTTACCACCATTCCCAAAGGACATGGCCAGGGAAGTGGTCGAGGTTGAGCGTTCAGTTGACCAGTTGGAGGTTGCAGAATTCACCAGTGAAATGCTAGTAAGGACAAGTCAAATTTTGAGGTAGGATAAATGAAGAAAGATGAGGAAGCTCACTATTGGGCAGTCCGTGTTCAGAGAAGAGATGCTGGTAATGTTAAGCAGTGAAATAGGGTAAAGACGTAGAGAATGAGGCGCCCTAGACGACGAGAGAGAAAGATTCGGACAGCACGTTTCACAAAGTTACCTGTCATTGGACGTTATGTTTCAAGCCATTTTGCATACATAGACAGAAGTATCCAATAGTATTTTCAGAGTGTTCTACATTTTTTTCCCAAGTACATATACGAAACAAGGAAGTATTTTGTCATATTTCGCCAGGATCCTGTCATAGTAATTTTTCCAGACGAGTTAATAAGTGCTCCTTGGCCCAGTTGGTTAAGGCGTCCGACTGTTATTCGTATGACCATGTGACTTTGTCACGTGGTGCGATCCGCATCGGGACATCGAGAGTTCAAGTCTCTCAGGAGCAGAATTGTTTTACATTTTTTTAGGGCTTTCAATATCTTTCTCTCCATCCTCCCGAGGTCCAGGAATACTTTCAGAATTTTTTCCATTTTTTTGGGAGAGTTTTTGAGTGGTTCGAGATCAGCGTGACATCTGGACGATCTGAAACCCAAATCGGGAAAGACCCCGTGACGCACCGTAAGCACTGGAAATCGACAGACTTATCGCCTTTCATTTGGACGACATAGTGATCACCATGGCTGCTCGTTCACCTCGCCCACCTGTTTTCTTTTCCGGATCCTTATACGCCGCCGGGTTGTTCGAAACTCCTCAATTTAGTGCTCTCGTCTCAGGATTAGGATCGGAACCGGCGTCCTGGACGCTGATTCGCGGCTCGACGTGCGCAGGGCGTCGCGGAGGGCGTATATGCACTTGCGGATGTGCTTGTGGCACAGTCGTGGTATGGCCTTGAGGTCGAGTCCTGCTGCCTAAGTCGAAGTCGCGGGTTGCGCTACTCGAAAAGGCGGCGGAAAGCTGGGCTCTGCAGCGCTCTATGATAAGCGGGAGCACCATCAGGTCAACGACGGTTAGTATGTCTCTACCTGGGAACCTGATGATTCCTTGCGGGCACGTAGAGAAGCGGATGGCGTACTTTTTTATGCCCTCCGCCATTCCTCGCCACTCGTTTTGTCCCCAGCCTGCGCAGCCTTTTCGAGAATTGTTTGGACGCCGTCAAGGTCGCTTTGAGACACCCCTCCGTCCTGCGCCAGTCGCAAACAAGTACCGCATCCCACCTGTACTTCCCTCGATCCCGCATGCGCATCGCACACCCTCTCCCGACACACAAATCAAAGCCAGCGCATCCGCCGCCTGTTTTAATCGCTTGTGCGGGTTCTGCTCCTTTTGCGATGCGGTTGGGTAACTGGGGGCTTGAATGCGGGAAGATACGCCGAAGTCTTCACAGCACCTACTCCATTCATCAAGAAAGTAGAGGTGTGGCTGCCTTTCTCGTCGTCGCCATCCGTGGGTGGTGGGCAATACGTGCATCTTGAAGATCTTTCAAATAGGGGCCAGTGACTTCCTTCTTGCCAGCTCTCAAAACATGTCCATTCTTGGGTCAACGCGGCCACCGGCGCCTCGCCTCATTCTTCAGCTCATTCTCGCGAGTTGAGTCGACGTCGACGTCGTCCTAGACTCATTTTGTTTCCCAGACAGTTTGGTGGGTCTCGTAATTATTGACAGCCACGCTATCACAACTGGTTCCAGGTTAACTGCGGACCACGTCCCTGCTTGCTGTGGGGTACTCCTGCCATTACGCTACTTCCGACTCTACTGTTGGCGGCCGAGTGAACGCTCAGGGTCAAACACTGTTACTATCTAGCTATGCTGAGAACTTTATAGTCTCTGTCCAAGTCGGAAACAAGATTGAACCCGTCAGAATCGATGTGGTTTCCTGGATCACCACCACCTCTTCTACGCGTGGAGCATCTACTTACCAGCTGGACGTCTCTGGTGTTTCAACTTTCGAACTTCTGCTCTTTGATCTCTCATACAAATTGTTTTAAACGGTTTTTATTACAATGTGGTGGGTGTCAAGTCGGGGGAAAAGCGAAAAATAAATCGAAAAGGGAAAGAGAAAGAGAGAACAGGAGAGATTCGAAGGAGGCCTTGACACCTGAATTCAATGATAGAGACCAGCGAGTGGCCTTTAGCCGGGGCTCGGAAACTTGCATTATCCATATTATTATGATGTTCTACGCAACAATACAATATCGAAGGAGTACCACGATGCGTGCCCCGCGCGCCTTGGCGATTCCAAAAGGCCCTGGAAATGGGAATAAAATGCTCACTGTTAAATTCCTCTATGCTCAGAGTACTTGCTGGAGAGCGGTAAAAGCTGCATTGGTGCTGAAGCTAGAAGCGAATTGATACATTTAGAGATCCCATGAATTCTCTCGGTAGCAGGATTCATCCCGTCCACGCCCCCCAGCTCTCCTTGGCTCGTCCAGCGCCCCGGCGGCAGCGCGCGCGTAGCGCACACGGCTCGGTTTGCGCTCCACGCGGGCACCGGGTGCGCGCTTCTGACCCTGGTCAGCAGTGATGTAGTACCCCGCGTCTGTGCCGCCCAGAGCGCCTCGCTCCCTCAGCGCTCATATATTCTGCCCATATCTTGACCAAGTCGAGGTTCCGTTCTGCTTGGGAGCTATTTTGAAATGCTGGGACCAGGGAAGAGCAGTTGTGCCGCAGAAGTGATGGTGCGCAGAGTAAAATCGTGCAGAAACAGTGTTCAGATGGAGATAGAGCGCATACTCAAGTGGGCAGACAGTAAGACTCAAGCAGCCCAGAGGGCCATGGAGACATTTTGAGTCATTCGGCCATAAAGGACGGTCCAAGGCGGCGCGCCAGCAACCAAATTTATACAGGCAAGAGCACAGGAAAGGCTGCAGATTCCGAGGGGATTTTGTGGGCCAGCACCTGGTAGAGTCAATAAATTGTGCTTCCGGAGAACCCAGGCTGCAAGACAGGGAGAACGAGGCGGAGGAAGAGGTCCTGGATGAGGTGCGCAGGTGACAATTATCTGCCAGTCACGCTGTTATCTGACATTTGACGAGTGCGTTTCTTTCTGAGCATTTCACAACATTCTGAAGAGGCAGAATTACTCCTTAATCTTTGTTAAGGACACCTTATTTTTTTTACCAGGCTTGAGAGGTGGTAAAACTACAAAACGAGCGAAAGTTGGCATAGAACTGGCAGATAACAACCCACCGGATTCGAGTGTTCTATGGACACTTTGGCCGAGTGGTTAAGGCGACGCCCTGCTATAATTTGCATGTTAGGCGTTGGATTTATCCGCGTGTGTTCGAATCGCACAGGTGTCGCTTTTTGACGCATTTATGGTTTTTTTTTTTTTGCGACTGAGAACTCGGTGGCTTTCGAAGTAAAGATGAGGCCGGTGGGTCTCGACACGGTGAGAGAAGCCGGAGGGTGTGAAACTAGAAATCAGTGATAGAGTGATATCCAGTTTCGCAACATGACACGACGAAACGGATGTGAATCCCTGTTTCAGAGTGCGCTGCAGGCACAGAGCCAACTCTACCACTCAGAGCGCAGCTCAACCAGTTGGTGACGCGCCGACTTCCCCAAACAGAGCTAAGCGAGGGGCAAAGAGGAAGGTGGGCGACAAGATTTTTGTCAGCGCAGTAGGAAAAGGTAGGCAGTAAGACTGTGTAAGACAGGGAGTAGGACGGGGCAGCTATAAATCCTGTACCGAAATACCGTTGGAGATGAGAAAGGTCTCGAAAGCTTGGGCAATGTCCTTGTTCTTGTTGTATACCTTGCTGACGTTCATGGGCACAATGTGCTCAATCTTCCTCCAATAAAGCAGGCAAGAGAAGTCCATCCACCCAGCACCGCGACAATGTCGCAAGGAATACCGGCCAGGAGGGGCTCGATGTGAACGCTGTGGCCGACAACCGCCAGGAGAATCACCGCCTCGGTGGGACGGTGGCCAAACACAATGGTGGGCCCGTATGATCTTGTATGCAAAAATCAATCGAAAGGAATGGGGGCACATCCAAAGAAATGAAGGGATGGCGGAGAATAAAGGCATGGGATGGCCAGACAGTTAAGGACTGGTGTCAGAGGAACTTGGGGCAGGACGACGGCAACAATAGAGCAGTATACCGGGAAAGGATGTGCAAGTGTGATTCGGGAGCAAGAAAGAACAGAAGAAAGGAAAGGCTCCAACTTGCGAGTAAGTGAGGCGAAGGGCAGTCGGTCAAAGACGTTGTCGGTAAGATAGGTAGCGTGGTGGACAAGAGTGCAGTGGAGAAGTAACCATTGCAAGTTGAGATAGGCGGTATGAAAGTGAAATATTAGGAAGGGGAGCGAATGTTGTAAGGCCCTTCTCAGAGGAAGGTGGTAGGGAGGTAGTTGGAAGCGGGAAGGAAACGAGGTGTAGGGTAAAGGCAGGAACGGGAACGGGTGCACAAGAGGGCAGTACCAAATAGCAAATAGGGGAAGAAAGTGGGCCAACTCGTAGTCAGGCTCGAATTTTTTTTTCAAGTTCATGCGGAACAAGGGGCGCGACCGTACAGCAAACAAGAGCTACGCCCAAAGGCCATGTCAAAGGAATTGAAAATTTTAGAAGGAAATAGGAGGGTGTGACAGCCAAAGACAGCAAAGTGCATGTGAAGGGGCCGTACAGGCGAAGGAGAAGAAATGGGAGGCTGTGGGCAAGGGGGGGGACTGCACGGCATGTGGAGGAAAAGGACAATAAGAAAAATAAGAAGGAAGGGACGAGCGCGCGCAAAGGCGCGCCAATACTTATCCGCGAACCCAATCGAGCGAGTCTAGTGGATGTCACAATGTCAAGAACCAGCGGATGAACGGAAGAAAGGGCTGAAGCAGGAAGGAACTAAGAGCCCTAAAGGGACAAAGGAAAGAAAGATTGTGTAGAAGCAACTCGATGGCGTGTAAGAAAGGGTCTGAGCAGGATGTAAGGCAAGACCACCGGAGGGTGTAAGGGTAAGAGCCCCGGAGGGCGTAAGGGTAAGGCCCCGGAGGGCGTAAGAAGAAAGAACCTCGACGGCGGGTAAAGGTAAAGCGCCTCAGAGGCAGATAAGCAGCCTCGACGGCAAGCAAGACGCCTCGACAGTGTGAGAAAGGGTTTGAGCAAGATGTAAGATAAGACCACCGGAGGGCGTAAGGGTAAGAGCCCCGGAGGGCGTAAGGGTAAGGCCCCGGAGGGCGTAAGAAGAACCTCGACGGCGAGTAAAAGTAAGGCGCCTCAGCGGCGGATAAGCAGCCTCGACGGCGGATAAGATGCCAGGTAAGATGCCCGGATGGCAGGCAAAGAATAAGACACCTTGACAGCAGATAAGAGGCCTCGACAACGAGTAAGAAAGGGAAAGAACGGCGGGCCTCGGGTAAAGGTAAAGGAGGGCGAGACTTGAGATCTCAGAGACCTCCGATGCCGTCCCGAATTTGTGGGGGGGGGGACTTCTCCTTGTTGATGAGTGGGACGAAGTTGAGAGAAGGCAAGATGTATTTGTGCCTGTTGTAGGAGTGAGATGAGGTCTGATAGGCGCGTAAGGAGAACGGGTGAGGACGGCAGGTGTAGGAATCAAGTTCAAGGAAAGGCGGAGAGGAAAACGAGCGTCGTAAGAAAGTGAAATCAAAAAGGAATTGTGACTGGGCACGAGCTCGAGTGCGGTGTGCGAATCGAAGAAAGAAATCGGAAGGACGGAACCTACGCACCTGTATGGGAAAGTGGAATAGGTGGCCGTGAGTAAGGATGTAAAAAGGAGGTAGAGAAAAATAAGTAAGAGAGGAAAGACGTGGGGGATTGTTATCCCCACGCGGAAGAAATAAAGTCAGCGCCCCGGAGGGTGGCAAGAAAGAAAAGGCGTCGGCGGGCAAAAGGGTGCAAAGGTGCACACCCACGCAACGTCCTCGAAAGGCGTCAACGGGCCGTGCATGCTACACTCGAAAGGATTAGCGATGGAGGTAGCAACGGCGATGCGGCACGAGATAAGTATGGGCAGAGAGGGGGGGCGGGCCTGAAGAAGCAACAAAGAAAGAGGAGGGCAAGGCAGCGCCATCGGTATGTCGACCAATGTCAGAACATGCCGTGCCGCACGTGTAAAAGATCGACAGCCTGGGCTCGGGTACACGAGGGATCAAAGCGAGAACGGGATGTGCGAAGATGCTCGTGTGAGCGTGGCCCGAACGACATCAACAGGCGCGAAGCGGCGCTGACGGGGCGGAACAGTGTCAACGGAGGCAACACCATCTGGAGTGAGAAATCATAAATTTCCACGCGGCAGCAGGCGCAAGGGCAGCATCAACAGAGAGAATAAAAGGAAATAAAAAGGTATCGGTAGCGTCACCGGACGTGCGATGGGGGTGTAGTATGCGAAGCAACCCCATTGGATGTAAAACAATACCTGCCAGGTATAAACGGCTCTACGGGATGATGCGCCAACCGGTGCTCCGATGAACGTGCCCCTGAGCCAGCGGTCGAGACGAGCGTGCAGCCCGTAACAAGCGCGAAAGGTTTAAGGGGAAGGAGGCGCTCAGCACATCCATGTGAATGTATGCGCATACACAGAAAAGGGTCCGAAACCGGCGCTAACGATGCAGGGAACACCAATTGACGGTACTGATACGCCAGTAGGAGGGAACGGCATCGACATCGACATCAGAAGGACCACAGCGTGCCATAAATCTGCGGCTGGAGCTGGCATGTAGCGTCCAACGGGTTCGTCGGGGCGTACCGCACGTAGCAGTGCCTGCCTGACCGTAGCGTGCACGGGTCGAGGCAGTCCCACGGGAGTGGGTGGCTCATGATGCGGGCAGGGAGAAATGAAGGAAAGGAAAAGGATGAAAAAGAGAAGAAAGGAAAAGGAAACACACCCTCGAGCGAAGGCAGAAAACCCGGTAGCAGATCCCACAGCACACATGGTGGGTACAAATCGTGTGAGTACCCAAATCATGCATTTGGGGGAAACAAAGGTGCGTATACGCGCGCCAAAGGAACGTGGAAACCGTACGGAGAGTAGACATCACGTTGGTGATGAACCTCGGCCTCTCTAGTGTTGCGTCGAGGAAAGGCGTCTGCAACAGACAAGGCGTATGAGAACAAGCGCGTGAACGTGCAAACCAAAGCGTGTAGGCCAGAACGGTAAGCCCGAACGAGAACGTAGGCTTGAGAGTTACGGCTCGACTCAAATACAGAGATTTGCTGTATTGGGGGGGTCGGGTCTGCTGCCAGAAACGCGCATATTGAGGAAGCAAAGGTCGTGAGCGCGTGGTCACGGTCGGCTTTGGTGTCTCGTTTTGCCTCATATTTGAGGGCTTGTTTCAGTGTGAGATATAGAAAAAGACGTTATAGAGTGGGTAGAAAGCTACGAAAAGAAAAGGCGGCTATGCACCCAGCAGCAGAGGAAAACTGAAGCGCGGTGGTGGTACGCGATCGAGCGAGAAGTGACAACGGTCACGCTCGCGTCACACCTATCGCCGATTCCCTCTTCACTATCCTCTGACAAGCCCAAGCCGCTCGTACCTCGCGTCGGGCTTGTCTCGGAGTTAGGTAGACCTGGACGTAGGGAGTCAAGGGCACCATTCTGTTACACCGCAGACAAGACGAATGAAAAGGATTGTTGTTGTCAGTGTATGAGCGAGAAATAAAATGACCAGTAATTATAAAAACCCAGGTATCATTGGATATGAGAGGAAAAGGAAAGATAGTGTGAGTCGTGCTAATAAATAAGGACAGTCCGGGATAGATGATAAGATATACAAGTCCGCCCTACTTCTTGACCTTGTCGACCTGTTGCTTGACCACAATACCGACCACGACGCCAATAATGATGAGGAGAACAAGACATATGATGAAGCAGATCCATCGCTTTTTGCGTGCTGCGCGCGCCGACTCCACAGCCTTTTCGGTGTAGCCGAGACTGGTGGGGAAAAGGTCAGGAGTAAGGAAGCTGTGCCGGACTGCGCGGCGTACCCGACTTCGGTGTCCTTTTCGACGCCGGCGGCCTGGGTTTCAATGACCATAATGGTTTCATCTTGCTGTTCGACAAGGACGCTCATCTATTTCTGTCAGTCAGCCGAATCAAAGGCGGGCAAAGCAAACCACAAACATCGTTGAAAAGCTGAGCAAGTTCCCCAAGAGTTTTCTCAATCCGCTTAATATCTTCATGCCGTTCTTGGACCTCCCGGTACGCCGCTCGTGATTCTCCATATCTGTTGGAGTTCATCAACTGTAGAACCGAGTTAATTCCGAGTAATGAAGATAAAAAGTAAAACCACCAACAGCTTGACTAAAGATTTGGCCATTGTTTTCGTCATTGACAACCGCACGGACCTC